CTGTCTTACGCGGTACATAAAATTTTACTAGAATTCTACTAACGGATGCTAAAATAAGTTTACTTGATTACTCAAGTAAACCTGATTATTATACTCCGTGTAGCAAGAGCAAAAATATTTGCTCTTTACTTACCTCTTATTTCGTTGAGATCTAAATTTACTTGTGCATTTTCCATCTGTGAGCGAGATTTTTTTTGAGTTACAAAATCATGCATATTACATCATGAATTATTAATTTTCAAAATAAATTATTCAACAAATTTATTTTTAGCGGAATGTAATGTTCAATAAATTCCTTGATAAATTACGTAGTTTCCAAATTGGAAATTCCACGCTTATGCGTTTTTCGATCAAAATGTAAACAAATAATTATCGATTATATTTTAACGAATCAAAATTGATTATTCAATTGCGAATGTAAGAGAAGGGACGTTGCTACTCGGTAGCAAGGTAGCAACAACGAACAATGTCTTTCAAGTGACACTTCAATTTTGACAATCAAATTATTAAGAGTCTTAATTTAAGACGTATTTTTTTTAATAAAAAAACAATTTGAATAATCAATCGTGATCATTTGTGAAAATCGAAGAAATTTAGTTTGGGATTTTCAATATTTAAAATTTTGAATATGAAAAATTAGTTTTAATATTTATCTTTGTTTCGATATTTTCAAAAAAAGGTGCGATCTCGCGTTTCAAATTGATAAATGTATCATTTCTTCAAATTTTGATTATTTATTCAATTATTTCTCAATTGTATTCTTAATTCTTTTGTTTATGTATGAATAACTTGATGTTATTTATATGTTACTAGCTCATTCCAGCGACTGATTGCTAAAAATCAAATATTATCGGCACTTTGTCATGAATTAGAATGCTATTTATTCATTATTTTATCCAAGAATAAATATTTTGATTTAACTATAATGCTATATTTAATTATTAACTTAATTATGATTTCATTTTAAGAAAACAAAATTTTAAAATGAACCAAACAGAAACAGATGTTATTGAGGAGATAATTCGACTCGAAAGAAATTCCAATGATAACCACGTGTTCGTGTTGAATACATTACATTCTACAGGAACTATTTGTTTTATTAAATGGAAATAAACCATTAACATTAAGAAATTAGATTGTTCCCACTTAACATACCTTTAAAAAAGTTCGTTCAATAATTATTAATATAAAATCATTTATTAATTTGTATATTTATTATGACTTGCCAGGATTGATGATCGTTGTTTTGGGAGCTGGAGTTGACGAGCTAACTTATTCGTTATGAAAGAGAGCTCTGGTCCTGAATCCAACCACATCCTTACTGGTTGACGAGCCAAAACAGGAGCAATTAGTTGAGCTTGAGCTGTTGCAAGTAAAGCTGTTGGATAGACAGACAATTCTTGAACTTGTTTAAGAGCTGGAGGATCGCAGGAACTAGTAGAGCAAGATAGAGCTACTGAAGAGCTTATCGGAAGACCAGAGGTCGAGTTTAGAGATGATTCAGGAGCTGGAGCTGAACTGGAGCATAAATCAGGAGCTAGTGGAGAGCTGAGCGTTGAGTTGAGCTGGTAGAGAGCTTGGCGGTGAGCCGAGCTGTTGAGCTAACAAGGGAGAGCCACTTTGAGCTAACAACAAAAGAAACAAAAATTAATTCTTGAGCATGACTGTCAAGTTTGATTGGAGCTTATCAACCTGATGTGGTTGGAGGTTGTTGAGCTGGAGCTGGATCGGATGAGCTTGAGCTGGTTGGAGCTGCAGGAGCGGAAACCGAGCTGATTTGAGTAGCCTCGCATTGATGTATTGTGGTATGATGCTTTCTACTACAATGACGGCAACGCTTCTCGCTCTGGCAAGCCTTGACATCATGTCTGCCAAGGCAATTGCTGCAGAGCCGATACTCCTTTGTGAGCTTGAGCCTGTTGGGTGGAGAGAGCTTCCGATAGTCTGGACAGCTGGCAATGAAGTTATCTGTGCTGGCACAATAATCACAGACGTGGCCCGGATCGGTTGGACTTCTCTACCCCGCCATCCAGGGTCTGAGCTTGTTGGCCGAGCTTTGCTGAGCTGCTGGCTTTGCACTAAAGCCACAACGTTGAGCTTGATCTGATAGAGCTTGAGTTGCAGGAGCTGAAGATTGAGCTTGAGCGGTGGCAGCATATGACCAAGCTGTTGGTTTCTTGAGTTGAGCAGAGCTGGACTTCGATGATGACTTGAGCTTTGATGATTTCTCTGAGGTGAGCTTAATACTCTCAAGAGAAATGGCTTCAGAAGTCAAAAACTCCTGAAGCGAGCTGAGCGATGGATAGGCAGTGTTGGAGCTTAGCGTTCTCTCCTATTTTCTTCTGATGGAAGGATCGAGTCGACGAACTAAGTGGTAGACAAGTGGCATGTCCCACTTGTCAACTTCGGCATCTAAAGCTTTTAGCGAATCGAGAGCTTCTCGAACACCATTGACCAAGTCGTGGAGACCCTTAGATGTTGGTTCTACCACTGAGCTGTCGCCGAAGAGCTTGTCGAGCTGTGTTGATATCAAAAGCCTTTTGTTCTCGTAGCGAGACGTGAGCAGGTTCCACGCGATGGCGTAGTTGTCATTGGTGGTCCTTAAATTTTGGAGAAGCCGAGCGGCGTCACCCTGAACTGCACCTTTGAGCAGCGTCATCTTGTAGACTTCTGTGAGCTCTGCGTTGTTGCTAACCATGGCCTGGAACAAGTCTTCGAATTCCTTTCAATCCTGGTATTTCCCACTGAAAGGTTTGATCTTGATTTTCTCAAAAAGATGAGCACCAGGTGAGCTTGATGATGATTGAGCTTGACGGAGAGAGCTGATGAGGTTGGTCCGGATTAACCTCTCGCAACACCATCAAAAACGCTTAAAGATCGTAAAATATTAAAACAAACAGAAGTGTTCGTTAACGATGTAAAGTTAAAAATTTAATCATATGGTTTAGACAACATATAAAGAGAAAAAAAAAAGAGCACAGTTCAATTGGTTTTTCCGACAACTCACAGTTATACTATACAACCAACGATATCAGCTGATGGAAAACTCCTCTCTCGCCTTTTTCTGGTGTTAAAAGAACCAATTGAATAACTTGGTCCACGGGTAGAAGCATCACTTTTTAGACGAGATAATATACACGTAGAAATATTAAAATCTGGAATACTTACTTCAGGTAAAAAATTAAATTTAAATGTTATACTATATTATATATTCTGGAAGTTTGTATACGAATTTTTTTAGGACACTTGAAAATCTGGTTGAAGGATGTATTTTTTCCGAATGTTGCAAAAAATAGTTTACTTTTAATTGATTCGTGGACTGGACATTGTACTGAATCTGTCACGTCCGTCAAACTGCCGGATAAAGAAATTGAGATAATGATTATTTTTAAAGGGGCTACTGGACAAATCGAATCGTTAGATGTTTTTTGGTTTAGAATATGGAAAAACTTTGTAAGACATTTTTCAGACAGTGTCGTATTAGGAGGAGATGATTTATGGACGTTGACCCTTTATGTCATAATAGTCAGATTTTAATAAAACTTCAGAAATAACCTAATATTTATGTACCGAAAATGCTCCGTAAATTTTACTTGAGTTTAGAGCGTAGTTTAGAAGATATTTAATGATGACATTAATTTTGCTCTTATGGAGTTTACTTTCGAATCTAGGGAATCATACAGATTTATATAGAATTAACAGTCATAAAACAGAGAATATTGCTCTAAAATTAAAACAGTTACTTCTCAAGTACTGCAGAACACATATGGAAAATTTCGAATAAATTGAGAATCCTGATAAATTATTAAAAATTAAAAAAAAAACAGTCGAAGCTATCGTTTTTTCCTAAACGCACGAATTAGTTAACAAACGTGGCAATGTCGGACTTGACAATCTGAAGATAACGCGATTTTTTCAAATTTAAAACAAAGGCGGGAAAATCTAAAAGAGTTGAAAATAGGTTAGAACTTATTCATAGAAAACATTACAATCTTTATTTATATTCTTATCGTGAATTATTTGGACACTTCAACTCATGGTGTAAAATATGAAATTTACTATAAAAATAACAGAGATAAATTTGATAAATTGTATAATTGTTATCAGCATCACCACTTACCCTTTTTCTACAAGATAAACATATTTTTCAAATATTAAGAGATCTTTTGAGACAATAAATAAAAATAAAATACTTTTGTAATATATTTGCACGCGAGATAGAAATAATGAGGCAGGATTATTGGTGAATAAATAGATTATTTATTTCCAAAAAGACAACACGCGGCAATCGCCATGGGGCTACACAGAGAGAGAGGGAATCTCTCCTCGCCTACTCCAGATGGCGTACCTAGTACTTCCATACATGACAATCCCTTCCCCAAATACTTTGTGATTGCAACTTATGACTTTAAACGCTGAAGCGGTTTCCGTTCTCGAGCAGATCTTCGAGCGGTCGGCGGTTGAATGGTTCGCCGTTTCCTGAGTACTTGGGCTGGTTCCTCACCTTGCGCCTCTTTAGGTTCTCGAACTGGAGAAGGCTTGTCTTCTTTCCTTAACCCCGATTCTTTTTCCAGGATAACTACCTTCTCACGCCATTTTAGCCGATCCGCATGTCTAACCCCAACCAGTCCATCCTCCAGCTCTACTTAAAATACGACCTCTCCCTCCTTTTCAATAATTTTACTTGAGGCCCAATATTTTTCTCTGTAGTCACGAGCCCAAACTAGATCACCAACTCTCAAATTGGTTACTGGATGTTGTGGATGATAAAATTTTTGATTGTCTAGTTTAGTGCGAAATGGTCTACCATTTTGGAGTTCGGCAGGGCTACAGCCAGTTGTTGTGTAGACTAAAGCTCTCGTAGCAAATAAATACAAACGAATTGCTTCTTAATGCGTGTGGCCTGACTTGACCAGTATCTTGAACTTATTCTTGAATTGTTTCACTGCATTCTCCGCTGTTCTATTCGATGCGGCGTGGTATGGTGCAGAAAATAAGTGTTAGATGCCATATTTAACAGTGAAGTTAGCGAATTCTCTTGACGCGTACGCTGGTTCATTGTCGGTCACAAGTTTGAGGGGCAATCTCCAAGTGACCATATAATCTTTAAGAAACTCGATGGCTGCGTTTGAAGTAATGTCCTTCAACTTCCTCACGTCAACCAACTTGGAAAATGCATCAACGATGATCATGAACATAGAGCCATTAACTGGTCCTAAAAAGTCTGCATAAATACGATCGTTAGGTCCTTCCGGCCGCTTCCAACCATGTAATTTCACTCTCGGAGGATTGGGTCCCTCTTCCTGGCACCATTCGCATGCCCTATTGGCCCGTTCTATATCCGCGTCGATTTCGGGCCACCAAACATGAGACCTGGTCATAGCTTTTATGTTCACTATCCCTACATGAGCACTGTGAATTTAATTAAGAACCACTTTTCTTAGTTTTGAAGAGATGACCACACGGTGTCCCCACATGAGGCATCCTGATTCGACAGTTAATTCGTGCTCGTGGATTTTGAAAGGTTTCAGTTCTTCCTCCACTTTATCTGGCCACCCAAGCATTACATACTCGAGCACCCTTTTCAATAACATATCGCTTTTGGTGCATTGACTAATCGTTTTATAGTTTAAGGTACTCGTGTCGCGTAATACTACATTCAGGTACGAGAATTCTGTAATTGTATTATTTGTTACACTACTAGCTAACGATAATCATGATAGACAATCAGCTATACATTTCGCTGACCCTTTTACATACTGTATCTTAAAGTCATAATTAAGGAGAAATATTGCTCATCTCTGCACTCTACTAGCTGACATTAAGAGAATACCCTCTTTATTACCAAAAATGTAAACCAACGGTTTGAGTTCTATTTCTAAAATAAAGTTACCACCATAACCATACTGGTGAAACGATTCAACACCAAATACAACGGATAATGCTCTTTTATCAATCTGGGCATACTTCCGTGCAACTTTGGATAGAGTGCGAGATGCATTAGCTATGGGCTTTACTTCCTTCTCATTTATCACATGTACTAAGACTGCACCAATACCAATTAATGACGCATCAGTCATTATTTTTAATAATAATTTAGGGTCGTAGTGAACTAAGGTCTGGTAGGATATTAACTTTTTCTTAAATAATTCAAACGCTTTATCAGCTTCCTCTGACAAACTCCATTCAACGTTTGACTTTAATAGCTCATACATAGGAGCTAAAATAATAGAAAAATTTTGAACAAATTTTGAATAGTAGTTAATCATCCCTAAACAAGACCATAATTCAGATACATTGGATGGTGGTGGTAGTTGTGTTATTGCTTTTATTTTTTTCTCGGATACTGACAATCCGTTATAATTAATAACATACCCTAGGAATTCTACGGAGTCACAACCAAAAATACATTTATTTTTTTTTGCAGTTAAATTACAATCTCTTAAGATTTCAAGAACCTTTCTCAATCTATCATTATGTTTTCCTGTCCTGAGAAGGACATTTTGTTTGAGTACCTCGCCTTATAGGGCACAACTCTGGGGACGACTCTACTTCTAGTGACGGCGTTATTTAGGACGTGGTATTCTTGCGCCTTTATAAAGGCACGAGGATACACGCATCTAGCTCAAGGCCTTACAACATACCACAACGAGTCCAACCTCAATTGACCGAAAACACCCGGCTCTCTGCATATCGTTTTTCGACTTTGCAGCTCCGGATGCGGGCTTGGATTTCAGTCTTCCGTAGTACCAGTTTTATCCGCTTTGGTCGGCGGCCCCAGGTGTTCATGGTGTTAGGGAAGCACAGTTATAATGTCAACAGCTAAAAGAAAAAAAATGGTTAATTTTAGATTGTTCCTTGAACAATTTCTCTTCCCCGCATGTCTTGACAAATTGTTCGAGACTCCTACATGTGTCCTTCGTTTGGACAAACTTCGGCGCTATTTCAGACCATGTCGATCTGAGGTCAACGTTTGTCTCCGAACGTATGACCGCTACGAGACTCGTGCATCTGTTTCTATATGCGGGACAGTACAGCAAGAAGTGCTCCACTGTGTCCTCATCTCCCCTATTGCAATTAGGGCAGGTTAGATCTGCTTCGGTGGCATATTGTGCACAGAATATGCCATGTCCTGTGAATATTGGTGTCATTATGTTGTTTAGGCGTGTCCATTTATTATCGAGTCTATCTGCTATGTTCGGGAAGAAGTGATATGTTTTGCGGCCCGTCGTTTATGAATATGCATGGAGATGTTAAGGTCTCTGCCAAACCAGACCCCCAGGTACCTAACCTCTTCTGGGTACTTTATTCTGTTACCCTTTATAGTAATCTTAGGCGGTTTACATTCATGCCTGTCCTTCTTTCTTCTGAGATGTGGCTTATATTCTCTATAGTTGGGATTGTCTTTGTCCTGGTAATTTCTCTTGCCTCTAAGTTTTATTTCTCTCTTTATAAAGATTGCCTCCGTCTTCGTTTTTGACAGCTCGTGCTTGGCATTCTTGCACCAAGTGAGTATTGTGTCAACGACTGCCTCTCCTTTGGCTTCAAGGGCCTCCCTCTAATTGCCACCTATGATGACAATTAGATCATCCGCGTACGCTGCATATCGTTTTCCATGTTCAGACTGATCAAGTGTTTTTAAGAGATCATCGCACATGATGTTCCAACACAGTGGGTCAAGCACGGATCCTTGAGGGCATCTACGAGTGGCCACTTTTGTGGTTGAGCCAGTTCCCCATGATAGGCTAATTGTACGATCTGTAAAGTAATTTAGCATTACCTTGTAGATATTTTTGGGGCAGTGTCGTGACTTGAGTCTCTCATGGATTAAGGGCCATCATACATTGTCAAACGCGCCTGAGATATCGAAGAGCAATGCAACCACGTTACGTTCCGTGGACTCTTGCACTGCTCTTCGCACCGTCAGTATCGCATCCACCGTTGATGGCCCTTCCATAAATCCATATTGGTGATCTGAAATGTTTCCTTGTTTAAAAACGCTAGTTGGAAGACGAATTTTTATAAGTTTTTCGAGGATTTTGCCTAGTACTGATAAAAGGCATATAGAGCGGTATGATTTAGGGTCCGTTACACCTTTGTCAGGACTCTTTAAGAGCATACGATCGTTCCCTCCTCCCAAGCCGAAGGAAAGTTACCTTGAGTCAAGCATTCGTTGAATAGTGCCAGAAATCTTTCTGGGAGGGACGCGATTGCGCGTTTAACGACTTCCACTTCCAGCAGGTCTAGTCTTGGAGCTTTTCCATTCTTAAGCGTTCGGACGACTTGCTTGAGTTCTTCTTTATTGAACGGTTCTGCATCGTCTGTGTTGGGTAGGTTAAGAGCGTTTATCTTTATCCTGCTCTGTTCATCTGTGTCCTTTTCCGAGTGGTCCTCGACTACATGTACTGCCAGCAATCACTAGTCTGTTCCCTTGAAGTCCAGGGTCTCACCACCCTCTTTAGTGCGAAGTGCATTTATAACTTTTTCGGCTCGAATCTCGTCGGCCGCAATCTTGTATACGACACCCCATTTTTCCTCGTTTCCGTGGGTTGTGACGAGATTCTTTCAGCTCTCTGTCTTCGCTCTTTTAATTTCTTTGGAGTACTACCTTACCTGCTGGCGGTATCGGAGTCTCGCCGTCGTAATTTGGTGAGTATCTGCACCAAGCTTTTTGGTACATTGGAATCTATGGCGCAGTCTATAGACACTGCGCTTCAGGCAAGACAGATGGTTATCCCACCAAGGATTCGCTTTCCTTGGCACTTTACGTCGCGGCATGGACTTTTCGCAAATGTCCGTTAATTCGTCTGCGAGAGTGTCAGCGAATCCGTCAATGTTCATCGGAGAGTCCAGCAATGGTCCAGCAGGAAGTGTGCTCTCTAGCTCGGGTATCAGCTTACCGAAGGCTTCCCAATCGGCTGCTTTGACATTGAACCGTCGGGTTACCCCTGTGTAAGTTTCGCCCTGCACTCCACTTCGACCAAGCTGGATTCCGATGGCCGTATGGTCTGATCCCTGAACCCACTCTCTCTCGACTGACTATTTGCTAAGGTCTTGTGACAGTTCTTGAGTAGCTACGGTCACGTCAATGTACGATTTTCCTCTTGGGGAGCTGTGAGTGAGGCCTTCTTCAATTCTTTTGAGAACTTCCAGACCGAATTCGGTAAAGAAGTTTGCAAGCTTTTCCCCTCTGGTATCGAAGTCTAGTGACCACAGAGGATATCGGGCGTTCGCATCCAGACAGATAAGAACTTGCTTGCTTCTAAGGGTCGTCAGGACCTTTCGTAAGTGCTCAATATGAACTTCGATTGGGGCCGTGTGCTGGAAATAATGTGAAATAGTGTAAAAGGAGTACCCAAGCCCTTCAATGAAGAAACACGTACAGTGTGCAGTACTCAGTTTGTCTGTATAGAGCATCTTGAGGAGAGGGTTGATTTCGGCAATAGCCGATTTGGGTTTTTCCCGTTGAAGGGTTTTTGCAGCGACTAGGGCTTGGCCAAATCTTCTAACTGCGTAGCCTTGTAAACCGGCATTCATGGAGTAGGGCTCTTGTACTGTAAAAGGCTACTGTAATAACAGTACATCCAGTTGCTTTCCTTTCACAAGTGCAAACGCTTCTTTCGTGGATTTAATGTTCAGATGTAGATTTAGCTGTAGAAGACGGAGCTAGTCCGTTCTACTGGTGACGGCATTCCTTGTGGTGCCCCTGGGTGGCGCCTGACCACCTGGGGTCGGGATGGAGCTGACACCGTCTTGGTGGTCTCGTGCTTTGCATGCCGTGATAATATGTTCATAATTATTATTATTACTACAATAATCATGACCGTGATCATAGGCAGCATCGCAATTGTTATTATTATTATTATTATTATTAATATGATAATTATTATTACTATCGGTATCGGTTGCCCCTGCGGAAACCCGCTATCAAGCCCTAACAGCAGCCCTCCATTGCGAGAGGTCAAAAGATACTTTTTCTATGCTAAGAATGCGGGGCCCAGAGGGGCTGCGCATTTTTGGTCGGGTGAGGCTCACCGAGCAGTTCTGGATTCGGAGTATCCTGCCTATCGGGTTTACTCGAGCATCCAGTCGATTTAGGAGCACAAGGCATTCCTTTGATTGAGCAAGCTCGTGTCGCGACGCGCGGTAGGGATGGACCGATCGCGATCGCGTGCACGTGGCCAGGTTCAAAGACCGGCTGTGAGCGAGAGCGCCAGAAGGCAGCGCGCGCGAGGCCAACCGGACACCCTGTCGAACGTTTCGGACCTCTGCGGGTGCTGAGGTGTTCAAGTTACAGGGTCGTCTTCTTGATCCATTCTGGTTGTTGGTGTGGATTCCAGTTGACTCTTGCAGTCTTTTTTTGTTTTTTCTTGCAGTCCAG